AAAAATATTTTAATAATTATAATTTTTAATTCACTTTATTATGTCAATGTAAACTTTTATTTTATAATAAAAAATATAAATTATAATTATAAACAAAATTGTAAATTATAATTAAGACTACAAATTTATATATAATAGTTAATATTAATAACAAATATTCACAAAGTTATATAATAATTACAATAAATATTTATTAATATAAAAACAAAAATATTTTAGTTTTGTTTATATAAACTTTAATTTTTAATAAAAAAATATAAACTATAATTATAAGTAAAGTTATAGAGCACAATATAATATACAAATAGTTATATAATAGTTGATATTAATAATGAATATTTACAGAGTTATATAATAATTATGATAAATATTTATAAATTTACTTATTTTAAAAAAAATTTTAAATTTAAAAAATAAAAAATAAAAATCTGAATATCCAGATCAAAAAATATTTTTGCTGATATGAAAACCAAAAAATTTACTTTGTGTGATCTAATAGAGAATTTTTATATAAATTTCTTCTTGTAATTATAAGAAAAATTATAGAACAAGTTAAATTTAGGTAATTATTTTTTATATTTCATAATTTTTGTTATTCATACTTTTCATAATGAAAATTTTCAATTATTATATGATTATATAATAGTAATTAGATAATATATCAAATCATATAATTTTACATAATGTGTAAATAAAATACATATTATATAAATATACAGAAATTGTAATTTGACTATCTATATATAGTTTAATATGAAGAAAATCTTACAAAACTCCTTATAAAACTTCTTATAAAGCTTCTTACAATGCTCTGCACAAAACTCAATCATATATGAAAATATCTGCTTTAGTGAAAGTTTGTTAATTAGTCAATTATTATGTGTTAATTTTATTATTCAATATGAGTATGATTTAACAAATAGTTACAAAATAAAAATAATTTAATTATTCTAAAAGATAGTTTCAAATTTAAATTTTATTTTTTAAATTTACCTATTATCTTATTTAAATTAGTGTGTTAAATAAAAGAAACAGCTTTAATTCAAGTCATTTCTATTTAGACAAGTACAAGTATTATGCCCAGACTGTCAACAAATAATATATTACTTTATTTTGCAATCAGCTAACTCAAATCTAGAAGAATCTCTTCTGGTTGAGTTAGTTGATTAACAATTAGATGCATCAGAAGGATATTTTTTTAGTATGGATTACTTTGGAATTCCGTAAAATTATTAATAAGACATTAATCATATTATTTAATATCTCTTGTATCATTATTTGTTAATACTCTGATTATTCTTGATATTTTTGCTATAGATTCTCCAGGAGAGGTCACAGTAAGTCTTTATGATTAAAAGTATTTTCTTCAATTTATGGTGCTGATAGAATTCTTTGAATTCACCAATATTTATGAATATTATCAAGAGTTAAATTCTAATTATTTTCAAAATATTGTATTTTGTGTCCAGAAATTTTATAATTAAACCTGTGATTTTTTGGAACTAAAAAAAAACTGGATTTTTGCCTGATTATTTTTATAGGAATTATCGAGTAAGCTTATGTTATACTAATTGTTATTATTTAAGTTTAATTTTCTAAAAAATAAATTATGTGCTTATAAAAAGTTAGTTTCTTAATTTTAGGTAAATATTGGCTTTCTGGCTTTATGCTGCTTTCGTCTGTATACTTTTAAACTTGAAGTTACAATTATAGCAAAGAAATATACCTTACTATTCGCAATAATTACACGTATATTACAATCGGAAATCTATGTAAATACATGTAATACATGTAGTATACATACGTAATACGTATTATTGTTATACGTACCAATTTTATTTATCAAAAAGTATTCTGGCCAGAGTTAAGGCCTTGAAAAAATTTGGATACAAAAATAACAAGGTCGTATCGGTATGTGTTCTTAATTACATGTACATGTACATGTATCAAATGTGATGCTATAAAGAATCGTTCAAATATCGATATTGACAATTTCAAATGCAATAATGGTTACAATGTGAAAATGTACAATATGAAAAACTTGATTTCTGTGAATCATTTGGCGTAAATGCATCGAGTTCTGTTAATGTAAATTGTTTGTGTAAAAATTTCATTATGGCATAGAGAATTGCTCTTGTGTAATATCGATATAGCGTTTCGGGAGAACTATTTTTGAATCCGAAACGTTTCGCTCTCCCTATTATCCGAAACCCTACGTAATTTTGTAGATCAAATTGGACGAAACTAGTCTCACCCAAAACACTAGTACTATCACTATGAGATCAAAAAAAAGTAATTCTAATAGTGCGTTACATTAGAATTAATTATCTATCAATCATAAAAAAACGACAATACCGATACTGAAAGTCTGTTTGAAATGAAACCTATTGTTATCGTTATTATGAAGGAAAAAGTTTCGAGACTTGTTAAAAAATCATTCCATATCTGTGGAGATGCATTAGTTATTTTTGGTTAGCGTTAGCTTCATTGAGTTATCCAAATATGAAAAAATTTACAATCTGCAGAAACAGGTATTGGGAATTTTAATACAGTACGAGAAAGCGATCACTACGTATCGCTTTCGTTATTACTATCGAGAATAACGATAACAATAACGATAGAAACATTCAACTCTGAAAATATTATTTCGTATCTTTATAAAATTAGAGTGTTGTTCATCGATTCAATTTTGAACATATGGGTGGAATCAGTAGAAGGGACAAATATATTAGAGTAATTGTCCCTTTTTACTGACTCCACCCCAATTTTTCAAATTAACAAAAAAAGTGGTACAATTATTGTGTTAAAATCCAAATCTGATGCACATAATGTATTTTATATTTTCCACATGGTAACATTTCACGTCACGTAATTTCTATTTGTTATACTAACCGATACGTATCAATCATAGCATGAGAAATTCAATTACGTATAGCTAATTCAGCTAACAAAGATTGTACACAGTGAAACTGGATACCACGAAGAGTGTTGCAGCCTTTTCGGAAATTGGATAGCCTTTTCCTTCGTTATATCCAGATATTCGTTTTATTCAGGGTTCATTATGTCCAATTTCACTGTAATATTTCGGCATTACGGAGTTACAACTCGTGTTGTAACTACATTTATTAATGTAAATTGAAGTTTTAATTACGATATTACAACAATCCATAATATTGTATGTAATACATGTACATGTATATAGCGATAACATCGATATAACTTATACATATACGTGTGTGTAGGTATAGCAGTTCATTATTACAATCACGAGTATTTGAGTCTTTTGAATATCTTTTTGAGAGTGATTATGTGCTGAATTTTACGATTTATATGTATGAAAGTCGATTTCTGCGTTGTGTTGAAAGACTAAACTTTTCCATTGTAAATCAATTTCTGTGTTGTGTTATAGATTTCTGTTTAATTTACATGCATTCCAAGTGAATTCTTACGTTAACGCAATACAGCAACGTTGTACATGTACGTAATTTTACATTTTACGGTACATGTATTACGGTAGTGTTATAATATAATGGTTTTGCTGCATCATTTCGTGTTGCATCATTACAACAAATCGTTTTTAGTTACGGGTCACAAGCTTACTTAGGTCAAGAGCATAACTTACAAGAAAATGCTAATGATGCTTGCAATCTACAGTTTATAAAAAAAAATGATATTGCAACATATTACATGTATAAGTTTTATAAGTAATAACACGGGAAAAGAGATTAAATCGACATTACAAATTTTTTTTAGCTCATTTAGCATTGAAAATTGTTCTAATAAAATTCGCGTTACGGTTATTACATGTATGTATAAAAATCGACCTTGTCCGGATTGCCTCTTGACCAAGAAATAAATACAAAAATTAACCCGATTCTATCATATTCGTGGATTAAATTTTGTATTTTACTTCAAGTTATAAAATAGTTTCTTTTTCCAGCACTCTTCCAATATATCTAAAAAGACAATCTTCAACTAAGAAACAATAATAAAAACAAGTTAAAAATATTTTAGTTACTAAATATTTTAAGCCTTGATTAGAATTTATTTATTTTGATAGTATATCTTGTTTCCAGATAAAATTATATTAACTTATTTTGTAAAAAAAAACCCTTAGAAAATTAGATTCTATAAATGTTGAATTTTTGATAAATTATAAATTTTGAATTTTTGATAAATTATAAATTAATCTTAACGGTAACAGAATCCATTTTTTCTATAAAATTTTTAATATTTAAGTTAAATTTAAAATTGAAAATAATATTTTGTTATCTGAAAATTAGCTAAATAAAATTAACTGTCTGAATCTTTATTACAACAAGAAAATTCAAAAGATGAATTAAATATACTGACCTTTTCTACATTATTAAAACCGAACCCATTCGTTATATTGTGTATGTAGAAAGCTCAATTATCAATGTTTTATATATTAAAGCTATAAAAACTGGTATATCCTATTGTTTTTCATGATTAGTAGCTCTTTTTCAAATATTTGATATATTCACATTAATATTTATGAATAATACTTGATTCAATAAATAGATTTATTAATAGTAAAATATTGATATTAGTTGATAATTTTTTTGATATACGTATCAATATTGTTTATTGAGCTACTTGGTAATGTTTAAACAATTTATTTACAATGTGGCATTTATTGTTTTTCGTAAGTAAAAGCAAAAAGTCACAAGCTCGGTTATTTGCAATTGAGAAATCTAATTGAATTAATTATTACTTGTAGAAAAGGGACAAATCTATTCGAGTAATTTGTCCCTTTTTTACTAACTTCACACCCCCCCCCATTTAGTGAAGAAAATTGAATTTCTCGCTAGTATCAAATCACGAATTTCCCACAATCTAATTTGTTGCATCATATAAGTGAATCATTATTTTGTCATCTATCGTATTAATGACGTGACGCATGCGAACGATTGTCATATATGCGTACCAATATAAAGCTTTTGTCTTACAAATCGTCAAAATTAACAAAAATTGACAAGATGTCGAATATCGATCCTACCAAAGACACGACTGTCCAAATACATGCGAATGAGAATGTTCTTTTGGAGAAAAAGTTAGATGATTTATATGAGTTGATTGATGGGATTAAGGTAAAAAAAATCATTGCACTTTAATTTGTGTTATTGCTTATGTAATTTTTTGTTTCGTGACAAGATCTGTATGATGACTACTCGTCGAGCAGGTAAACAAAATCTAGAAAAAATAACTCGTACTTGCATTACTCGCATTTCATGACATGATCACCTAACTAATTAACATATACATACAGATGGAAACTTAACCTCACGCCCAATGAACACACGCGACAGGACACCCGCAGCCGACATCTGGTTCATCGGGAACAAACAATCACAAAATTTTGATGAACTCCTCACTGACCCCCACGTGAACCTCGCCTATTATAACGACGCGACGCACGAATGGGTGAGCGTTTCGGGAGTCGCAAAGATTGTTGACGATTGTGAAATGATTAAAAAGTTGTATACGCCTGATTGTAAGGCATGGTTTGGCGATTTGGGCGATGGTGTTCATGACGGGTCGGCTTCTGATCCGAGGATTTCGTTGGTATGTGGATAGGTCATTATAATATGTTATTTGTCATAACATATATAAGGAAAGTGTAATTATTGATTTTGAATAGATTTTCGTTGAAGCGAATTCGGTATCCTATTCTAAACGAGACGCATATCCCTTTGTGCAATGGTACAGAATTATCAAAGACTCAATCACTGGTAAATATTATTTAAAATACCTTTCGATTATTCTATTTTTTATCAATACAAATATTTTGACTAATAAAATAAATTTATTGATTTAATAAAATTATTAGACGAACCACCAAAACCCTCAATCTTCTATCGTATATACAAAATTCTACAATGAAATGAATGTAGTTTATTAAGAAAAACTCTTACTCGGTAGCATGATTTTAACGAAAATATTTTTTCGATACGTACGCACATGTACAGGCATGATTGATGCAAATAATCGGCTTCAATGTACATGTACATTATACATGTAATCAAACCTGTTTCCTCCCCTACATATATATATATTTACTTTTTTGTTCGTGAGATCTCACCATTATCAATGCCCATTTAATAATGATAATGACTGAACATTTCTTTTTTTTTCAGTTAGTTTGATTATTTACATGTACTAGAAGGTGTGATTATATGTACGAACATGATTTCATGATACGTATTTTTTTATTCAAAAATTACTCTCCGTTTATCATTGACAAAGAATCTCCATTCAACAAACCACTCTTTGTTTCCGAATACTTTATATATAAAAAGAAAAATTACTTTCTCTATCGGAATCAATTTATCAAAAGGAACGTGTTAAGGTATCGGTACCAGTCGCTTGTTCTTTTACTCAAAAAATTTTGTCCTTTTCTCATGTGCTTTCGTTTTATTATTATTACGTTTGGGTGATGAATAATATTTGTACGTACTCAAATAAAATACCATTGACATATATTATTTGGAAATAGCGAACGTAGCTATTTTTTATTTGCATTATATTCAAAATACTCGTTTTCTCAGATAGACATTCATGTTCGTATTAGCCCGCTTTCGTTATCTTCTATGGAACAAGAGCAAAGCCGCGCTATTTTGGCTGGACAACGTGAATAACAATAATATAATCCATATTAATCGTTATGTATCGGTAAAATGAAATCTAGTAGGGTATATAAATAATATCTATGTACATGTATACACAACCCTTTTCCATAATTGTCACCCCCAAATCATTTAACCCCTTTTTATACATAATCTGTCACAAGACGTACTTGTCACCCATCATTATTTATAAATAACGCTACGCTATTGTTGATATCATTGGAACTGAACTTTTTTTTATAAGAGAATAATAAAATAAATGAAGTCATTACTAAAAACAGCAAAAAGCATATTTAAAATACAATCAACAAAAAAGCTATCTTTAGCAACAACAATAAAAAGCATAATATTATGGACTTTCTTAACAAGAGAGTTCGCATTAGCGGCGACGATAAAACCCACTGGTAGTAGTTCAAGTAGTAGTTCTACTTCTAAAGGTTATGGTAATTCTGGCTCAAGTAGTTCAAGTAACAATTGGGTGTTTTGGTATTATTATTATAATGGCACTGGATATGACCGGCGTTGTGCGAATTTTTGTATTCTGACATTTAGCCTTCTTGCGTTTATCCTTTTTATGATAATTTTATGTGGATGTTATCGATGTTTTAATATTTATCGTCGATCGATAAAAGAAGAAAAAGAGGAGATTGAACCACCTCTTGATTCTTCACATATTTCTCAATTACCACAATCAGATGACTCATCGTATTCTCAACACCACCCCATCGTTACAGTACAACCTAGTAATCATAATCCTAACAACATACCTCCACCACCATACAAAGCATCTCCAAGTGATTATCGTCCTTCACACACTCTTGCAGAAACACAAGCTGATTCCACATTAACACAGTTACCTCCTGAAGACCATCAACAATATATTTTAGCAATGGGTGGATCAAAGGCATGGAAACTCGTTTATAACTCTGCTCCTTCTTCAGTGCCAGGTCAACATTGGCCAGTTACAATGAATGATAATGGAAGAATTGCCACTCTGCATCCAGCAAAGGACGTTAATATTTCTTTGCTAACAAATTACCCAGCTTTTGTACCATCCGGAGCAGTTACTAAAGATAGGAATCGAGGGTTGATGCATTACTTTGAGTTTACAATTTTAAGTAATCCGGAATCAGCAAAAACAAAAATTGCGATTGGAGTAGCTACGAAAAATTATCCAGCAAATAGGTATTGATTTTATTTTGAAATTATTTAATTGTTATTTTATTACATATAAAAAAATTAATCATGATTATTTTATATTAATATAGACTTGTAGGATGGGATCGTGAATCAGTAGGCTATCACTCTACAGGACAATGCTTTCACAACAATCCTTCGGAATCAGGAGACAATTATGGTCCGGAATTCGGAAAAGCAGGCGACGTAATCGGGTGTGGTTATTACCCTGTTTCCGGGATAATATTTTTTACGATAAATGGCAGCAACTATGGCGAAGTATGTAAAAATCATCAAGTTTGGTATCCGGCTGTTAGCGCAAGTGGGCCTTGTCAAGTGGCAATTAATTTCGGCGATCCAGAAGATGAAAAGTTTTTGTACCGAGCTGCTCGTGGGTTTGGAATCGGTGCACCATACTTTTAGTGTAGTAGTCAAATTTTATGTCAAAGCAAAAATATCTTTAAAACTCTATTTTAAATATATAATATATATAAATATATAATTGTAAATATGTACATGTATTTTTCCTGGGATATATTTTTTGCATTACATGTATAATATCTCATTTTAATATTTTTTGTATTTTAGACACATGTAATTATTAATATCACATACGATAATAATAATAATAATAAAAAATAACGTGTAATTACGCATGGTAATACCAATTTAACGTTAATTAAAATATCGACGTTATTTTGATGTAAGGGTACACGGCACAGGCATGATACATATACGCTTCTATGACACACTTTTTACGCTGTTATTAATTGTCTCCCGTATTTTTGTATTTCAAAAGAATCTTACAAGTTCAAAAATGGCTAAAAAAGGCCGCGTGATAAGATGGCATTTATTTACTTTTGTTATGCTAAACGAGACCATAACTAAAGTACATGTACTAATCTGGAGCAGCACAACTAACTCTAAATCTCCCAAAGGGACTGCTTAAATTTATGTATGCAATTTCATTATTAAATATACAAAACATTATTCAAACCCTGTGATTTAAATAAATTTTTCAAGTTGGAACATTGAAGCTTTAATTTTAGAAAACATTTAGTGTTAACATATCATTATAAAGGATCTTATATACAGTAACTCGTTAAGTCGAATTTGAAGAAATTGTTGCCTTTGGTTTAACGAGAGCCACTGTGTATGAATCCAATCTGTGTGAAACTTATGAAAGTAAATGATAAAGTTGTGTTTCTTTCAAATAAATTAACTTGTACATGTGGCAGCTTAAAATGAAATCGCATTAAGAAGAAATCTGGTGACCTTTTTTGTAAAAAGGGTTACATAATTTTGGTCTTTTTTTGGTGAGAATTATAAAAAGGGTTAAGTATGGATTCAGAGTAGGTATAGCGATAATATTGAATTTTATCATTTACGTATAAATTTGTTAGAACGTAACGGACGGTAATAGTAACGGTAACGGTAATTAGCATAGATCTGCAATTTCAAACATGTGATTTTCGTCTGAATATTTTCCTTGATCATATTAATCCGTGAATCGCACCGCGAGTGAAGAGTTAATATCAACTATATAGATTCAGGTGCATCTTTCATATGATAATTACTAATAACCTATAATCTGGAGCCAAATTTTTTTTTAAAATTCAGCTAAGTCTTTATTTTCAGCTCTCATCTACAATCAACTTTATTCAAATAATAAATTTATATCCATTTAATAGCCAAGAATCACTAGATTCAGCTGATAAAATTTTATTTGAAGATATTTATCCATTATTCAAAATTGCCTTCAGATTACGTATCGGTATGGGTATTATTAATTTCATATATTTGCACCGGAATTTATATAGTTATTTCTTTCTCTCATTCGCGGATCACAAATTAACAATAAAAGAGTTATTGGTTATTTACTTGTTTAGATTAAAGTGCAATTATAATTATCTTGTTATTTAAGATTTCTGAGCTCATTCTAGCTTTCACAACATGAATACTGAATTTATATATCACCTAATCATAATCTTATTGGACATTTCATATCGATATCGATATTTACGGATTAAATTTTTGATCTACTTCTTAGCGTTAGGTAAGAAGCTTATTTACTGTGACAGATTAAAATGAAATCAGATTATAACGATAATAAAATAAAATCAAAATAAAATTTAGATCTTTTTTTATGAGATAAAATTTCGAAGAAGAGTTAAGGTTATGTTAGAGCATAGAGTATAGCATTAAAATCTGTAATATATTGAAATATGATTCTTTAAACACCCCCGCTCTGTTTCGTTTTAATCTGGTTTCATTTTAATCCGTCACATTTATTAAATTTATAAAATACAATCTACGTATTGATGTGCTTAGAGGCTATAATAAATATAGAAAAGAATTCTTGTGGATTTTACTATTAAAATTCTGTTTCAAAAATTCTTATCGAGATTTAGAGTTAATACGTTTACATCGACGAAGTAGAGTTTATGAGGAATGAGAATTGACTGCTGTTTAAATTTCGATCCATTCTTCAACTTTGGACACTTTAAAGAATCATCGCATAATGCCAAAAACAAACACCCCTTTTTTGCATTCAAAATCGAGATGAGTGCTCACTTTCGGTATGTTTTTAATTAACAGTACTTATGTTCGTGCAATCTGATAATACTAAAAAAAATTAGGAATAGCATATTTTCGGCATTATATACGGTCTTTAAAATCTTTATATCAGGAAAATAAAAGGGTATCTTGGAATGTTCAGTAAGAAAATTTTTTATGTGAAAATCAGAATTTCACTGAATTGATCGGTTTATTGAGGCAGAGGCAGGGTTACTGCAGCTCTTCCTGAACCAACTTCAATTTATCGAGACTGGTTTACTATAACATTGAAACATGATTTTAAATTCCATTGATCATCAGTGGACTAAATATTAACAGTTGCAACTAACTTTATGCAAGGATCCGAGCAAATACGTAATCATCTCCCACGCCATTTTAAGAGTATTGAATCAAATAATAGACATGAATAAAAAATTCGTAAAGATAACTTTGAATACGAAAATAATGAAAACATATATACAAGTGCTTTTTACTTTAATGATTTTTCGTATATGAAAATCTAGGATTTTTTCAGAAACAGCTTTTGAATACATTATTTTTGCTAGATGTTATGATTCTAATAAAATTTCTAAATATATGAATTCACGCGATTTAGTTATGACAAACGAAAATGACGCGAACTCCACAGAAATTGAGAGCAAGTTTTTAAATTGAGCAACCATAACCAACATGTCAAGTTTCAAAATATTATAATCGTAAATTAAAAAGAAAATTCATCACTAGGTGAATAGCAGCTTACCTCCCGTAACTAAAAATGATTTGTAATATTGCAACACAAATCCATAATCGTTGCGACAAGACCGTTATATTACAACACTATCTTAATACCGTAAAATTACAGCATTGCAACAAAACCGTTATATTCAACATCGTATTCTGTATTCTAAATGATACGTACTGGGTTTGGCAGCAATTATTAGAATTGAATTTTTCTTCTATTGATTCAGATTCATTAGCATTATGTGTTTCTTTATCATTTTTATTGTATACAACTCATTCTCGTTATAGTGAATGTGTCACGGCTCTTAGCGAAAAATTCACTATATCGAGAGGATTTATTATAGACTCAAGTTCACTATATTGAGTTTAATTAGTCTTCACTCTCTAACGAGAGTGACTTGTACGCTGTCAATGCCAATATTACATTACGACATACTGTACCATTACAACATATTATACATATATTACGAAATTAGGGGGTTGCAACCTGTGTTGTAACTATTAATACAAATTGAAGGTTCAATTGTGGTATTACAACAATCCGTAATGTCGTGATGTCGTAATATTACATTACGGTCAGCAAGCTTACATCAGAGACTTGAGTGTTCCTTTTGCACATTCCCATTTAGGGTTCTGAACGGTTCAGTAATCCCATTAAACCGAATGGATCGAATAATTACCGTTACCGATCGGTATCCGTAATATCGGTTTCGAGTGTCGTTTTACCGATACTTTAATCAAATGATCAAATGCAGCAGTTTTGTAAAATGATACGTAGTATTTACACATTTGGCAAAAGATTTTCCAAATGTATATTCGGGATATGAAAGATATCGGTAATTCGGTAAATTCGTTCATTACCGAAAAATCTCGATAATTACCGGTTAGATAACGGTTTGTAAAAAAAAAACCGAAACGGTCGGTGCTCGCAGATAGTGAAATGGAAGTTTCTCAATGGAAAAATGAACAATTGTAACGTTGCTCTACAAACCTTTTGTTGTTCTACACTTTAATTAGTGCAGAACAACATGACATGATATGCATTAAACAATTGGTATAAGTACATGTGTTGTTCTATACTTGACGTGGTATTTTTTTTTACACTATCGCTACGTATTTACTAATTAAAAGTGTAGAACAACACAATTATTGTGTTCTACTTCCTGACGCTGTGCTAAACTAACAACTCATTAGAGACAAATTTTATCGAACCCAGTTTCAAATTTCCTAATCTGTAATTCATCCAATAGGAGTGCGCAAATTTTTTCAATAACCAATAAGAATGCACAAATTTCTGATCGACCCGGCAAAAATCCGACTCAAAAAAGTGATATTACGAGAAACCTGATGCATAAATCTGTTTTGGACTATTAATTAAAAATGTCGGGAAGGCAAGTTTACATATAAACTTGTTTTCTCACCCAATACCTTATCCTTACCATGACTCTAATCGGATGTAATAAAAATTCAGAATCAAAATTAGGAAATTTGAAATTGGTTCGATAAAATTTGTCCTCATTAGATGTGTTATAAACCTTATCCCTTTTACCTGTATATATGTATATTTCAATTAACCGGAAAAAATTATAATATATTTCTTTCCTTTGTTGCCTCCAGTTTAACGAGAGGTGCTGTATGGATCAAACTTACCAAAGTAACTCGTTCTTTGATAAAATTGGTTTCTTTCAAATAAACAATTATTTACAAGTGGGTCTCATTATAACGACACTCTTGGTTCCAAGTAAAACTTTTCAAATTGTCGTTATACATTACATCGAGTAGAATATTTATCGTTATGTCTACTAATAATCGGTGATTGGGAGTACCGTAATGTTACATGTCATGTACATGTATTGCGGTTTTATTATCGTTAGTGAATGCATACATGTAGATCTGTGTGATTTTTTGCTCATTACATGAATTATAAGATCTGTTTTATAATTACATGATTTTCGATTGATGGTATATTATTGAATTTATAAAATACAATCTATTGATAAGTGTGGAGTTTATGCATTACATCGTTAAATCTAAACAAATATTTGTCTTGAAACAGAATTTTAATAGTAAATCCATATGAAGTTCTTATTGAGATTTATATTTAATGCATTTACATCAACAAAGTA